GGAGTTGAAATGTTTTCTTTTAACGGTTTTGGGAATGGGATGTTTTCTTTCGAAAAATAGAGGCACAACCGACACCGAGCTTGAGTTTAGTAGATGAGTTATGTGTTAGCGTTTTGGGTCCTCATAAAGTATTTACGTGGATAGCATGGCAAGGAGATCAAATCGGCGTGGTGAAGCAAGGGGACGTGAAGGACGAGGATGAGGACGAGGACGTGGAGGGCGCGGTAGTCATGAGGATCAAGCGGAGACAGCCGAGAGCTCGCAAAATGGTGGTCAAGCTCCACCACCAATGGGGGATACAGCTGTAGTGCAGCAGCAGTGTTAGAAGGATTGCGTATCTTGCTGCGAATGCCCGGAGCTCCTAATCCACCACCGCATATGCACCATGCACCAACAAAAACGTGATGGACTCGAAATCACGTAGACGAGGAATTAGGCAAAGGTGGCGATGTTTTTATGCTCTGAACTTTTAACATCATGTTTTATGTTTAACATCATGTTACTTATTTTATCTTTCTCTCTTTTCTAAGAAAGACATAGAGAGGATAGATAACTCGGTTGGAGTCATGGACGACAAGTTCAACTTGTGTGTTTCAATGATGTTGAGAAAGAAAGGCGAGTGTAGTATGAACATGTCTGCATTTGAAATGGTTACAATATTGTAACTGTCTAGACAACATGTCTTGCCAGAAGAGAAAGAAAAATAAAGACATAGGAACAACATGTTCTGTTTCAAATGAAGCAAAAAGAAAGAGAAAAAAGAAGCAACAACATGCTCTGTTTCGAGTGAAGCAAAAAGAAGTAAGATAAAAAAAATTGGAACCAATCTGTCTTGTCAACTCAACTATCTCACACTCTTTGAAGAAAAGAGAAAGTGAACACTATAGAAGAACTACACACCAAAAAGCTTGTGAATATAATAGCAACAAAAACTTCGTCCAAAAAATCTTCATGTTTAGTCTTGTGATGAGGTCTGTCTGTCTCTCTCCTGCCCCTCTAAGAAAACCAATCTTAT